CGAGGTCCAGTGTCAAAAATATATCTTGATCCGGTGTATGGTGCAACCCGAACTGTGTCTGCATTGGCATCGTACTAAAATAAGTGAACTGGTTGGGCAGTGTTTGGAACCTGTGTGATGTCTCGGGAATGTCATGTCTTCGATTTGCATTGCGTGGATGAGGATGTTGTTGTTGCTCGTCGGTTTCTACCTCTAAAATATATTTTAACACTTATACCAGAATATTTATAGATGCAGCAACACTATCAACGCCTATTGCCGGACAATGGGCTGGGTTTCGTATGTAACTGTTAGACAAGGCGTGCAACTCTAGAAGGGGGGTGAATAGAGTTGTTGAGAATGATTACCGATTTTCGCAGGGTTAATAATATAAACGTAAGTGCATCGGAAATAAAAGTGAGAAGGCAAAGAACACATCGATGTATACTCGTTCACCACCTCGTGGCTAGTCCAATTCCCCGAGAGACTCTCTCGAAGCTACCACTACTTCCGTTAAGCTTACGGGTGCTTAACAAACCGTTTACAACTCGAGAACTTGAATCCCACAAGCCTCGACACAATCGCTCGTAGATATGCCCTCTACAAGACTTCACAACCAAGACTTAAGTCACATAAGTCTTGAACAACAAGAAGAACAATCTTCTTCAACCTCTCAACAATAGCTCTCAAAAGAGTAGAAATGAGAAATGATTAAAGCTCTATGGATGACAAGAACACTCTCTTGAAAACACTTAGTTTTCTCTCAAAATATATCAATTTGAGGAAGAGATGAATGGAGGATTATAACCTCGAGATTGGGGGAGTTTAGGAGTGCTTGTTCATTATAAAAATGACCAAGGAGTGAAGTTTATAAAGGGGTTGAAGGAATATATCCGTTGGTCCAAGAAAAGAAGCTGGGATGAAAAATGCAGCATAATAATCGATTAATGCACTGACATTAATCGATTAATGCAGCATCATCAACGATTAATGCAGCTGAAAGAAAATTGATTAAATTAAAGGGATAAATCGATTAGAAGGCGCTATGAGCCTTAATCGATTAATATAAGAACAAAAATCGATTAAGCTAGAGGCTAGAGAAATTCAGCGATAAGTAGTTAATCGATTAATTTTGGAAGATTAATCGATTAATAAGGAAATAATACGCAAACACAAAGGGCCCAAGGCTAGTTGCGATAGATAAAGAATTGGCTGAATACTCGTTGTTTGAGACAACGGGAATCAGGCAGCAACGCTCGCCAATCAAAGCTTCTCATTCAATGAATTTTGAATAGGGGAGAAAAAGTGAGTCTAAAAATTATTTTGTGTGTCAATTGATGTACACGAAAAAATATTTGAATAAAATATTTTTGCTCACCAAAAATATTTTATAATATCAAAATAAATATTTGATAATTGTTTGGCACACCTTTTGTAACTGACTCAATAAAACTCTTTTGAACAGTTAAAAAGATTTTTCAACTGACTCCAAAAATAAATATAATTTTTATTTTAACTCTCATAAAAATAATTTTGGAGAGAAGATATTTTTGTCATCCTTACAATAATTCCTAAGACTCAAATAAATAAAAAGTCTTCAGAAATCTTCTGCTCCTCCGAGTCCTCCGTTAGGCGCTCCGAACGCATCTCGGACTTCAACAAAATCCTGTGCACCTTCTTGAATACTTCAAGGAGTGGCACTTCAAGTCTTCGTGTTTGTCGTTGTAGCACTTTAATCTTGACTTGAATAAATTGTGTTTGTCAATTATCAAAACCTGTGAGTCAACACTTAACAACACAGAAAAAGTTGAACTCATGCATTCCAATATTAACGTCGTGCATACATTTGGTACCAGTCTCGGTATCCATGTGCCAAGCCTTCACCTGTATCTGACACTGATGGTAGTTGCTCCATATCCACTCGATGTAAGAATCGATCACGACTCAACGTATTGCAATACAGTACAAAGAAATTAATTTGTACATTTCGTCTCACAATATTATGCAAGTGCTCATTGTACTCAATTGGCAAAGCTGGAATATCTTGTAGACAGTTGAACTGTCGAGCAAACCTCCTAGACATATGTGGCTCAATAAAAATGTCAAAAACAATATAACCCTCATAAAGCCAGAGAACTCTACCGGCCTAACAAAAGTTTGGAAAGACGGCCAAATTGTACAGAGTCCATACGACCTATAAGAAATACAAAATTAATTTATAATTTTAAAAATGTTAATTAAAAAATCTAAATTTAAAAATGTATATTTAAAAAATATACATGACGAAATGAAGCACTATCAAATTGTTCTCGATAGAAGCGTACTAAGTGACGTGGACTTGACTGGAATAATTTCCTAATTCGCCACCTGAAATTTAAAAATATATTAAATTTAAATTTAAACTTTAGTAACATGCGTAGTAATATTTATAAAAATAAATACAACATTTCACATACCGTGCGCCATATGGCTCGTCTCCCTCATTACGGAGTGGTCCATGAACATCGCGTCGAAGATTGCGCGTTTCAGGGCATATTGTTATTAGCCGTGTCCAAGCCCAAAGTTGGAGAAGCAAAGCACATCCTCCCATTTTTGGAGTATCAGTTCTCCATAACACTACTTTGCACATATTATGATACAAGTTTGCCAAGACAGTAGAGCCCCAACTGAATTGATGAATGTCATCCAAATTTGCCAAGTATGGCAAGAACTCAACACTCAAATATGTGTTTGACGTAGTAGGAAATAACAAACCTCCAATCAACTGTAAAATAATCCTTGTAGTATACTGAACTGCTTCCTCATCAGTGCTATCCTCAGACAGTGGGTCTTGACCTTCTAGTCTACGCAAGTTAAACCCCAATGACCCAAAATCAGTGTCATCCACCGGAAACTCAAGAACCCTCAAAAATAACCGTGAATAGGTTTCCCGCGGAACATTTTGTGTAAAAACAATGGGTTCACCATCCACAGGTAATCCAAGAAGACACTCAACATCTTGTAAGGTAATCCCTAATTCGCCAAAAAGGAACTGAAAGGCATGAACCTCCGGTCTCCACCGTTCCAATAGGGCCATGATTAAACTGTGATCCAATTTAATGGGTTGAACACGATGCACCCCGTAAAACCCAGGAGTTCTGAGATTTGTCTCTATCCGATCATCTTCGTAAGAGCTTTCAACGCCGGCGTCATACCGACAACAAAAAAATTTTGCATCAAGAAAATCTTCCTCTTCCCAAACGCGCCTTGAACGATGTTTCTGTTGAAGCGTTAACACATCATCGTTTCGAGGACCGGCAATATCACGTTCAATTTGGTCCATTGCTTCATTAAAATTAAATGCAAATACAAGAAAATATAAGAGAAATAAAAGAAAATATACTCCATAAAAGAAACATATATCTACCATATATACAAAACTTCCATCTTGGAGCATAATAATGTATGAAAAATAAAAGAAACAAAAAAAATTTACTCTAATATACTCCAAATATATTTCTACCATATATACAAAACTTCCCTAAAGTTATTATATACAAATGCAAAATAGAAAAGCAACATATATCTATCATAAGAATTTATTTTATTCATTTTTTCATACTATTTAATACTAAATACCATATTTATAACAATTAAATAAATTTATATGATAATAAAAACAAAGTCTAATCATTTTAGCCAAAAAAGTTATAATGATTTTAAGGAATAAAAATTAAAAAATTAATAACATACCTTTCAATTGAGAGTAGAATGGAGAAGTGTTGTGTTGTGAATTGTGATATAACTTAGATGATTTGAATAAGGAAGAAATTGAAAAGGTATAAATTTAAGATAATGTGTTGGAAAGGGGAGGAGAGTGTTTGAATTTGAAAAGATGGTTGGAATGTGTGAAAAGGGGAAAGGGATAGGGTAATTTAATAGTATAATTGAATGGTTTAATTGAATAAGGGAAGAAGGGATGGAGATATATGGCCAAACATGTGACTTCTTTTTCTTTTTTTTCTCAAAGGAAGTCGCCGACTTCCTTTGTCACTGACTCGAAATACTTTGGCTTTTTTGGAATTCAATCAGCAAAATCTTCCCTTTCTGGGAAGTTACCCAAAGGATGAGCCCATCCCGAGGGCTTCTAGACTCGATTTTACCGTTTAGATTTTGATCGCAGATTAGTGTTAAAGAGTATAGCTTGTACTTGGTATTTGCAGAGGTAAGGAATCAAACTTGAGTCTTACCTCTTTGGCACTTCTTCTCTTTGTCAACTGTGCAACGCTAACCCACTGATGAGCCTAAATTAGATTCTTGCCTAAATACTTCAACCATAAAATGTAAAAAAGAATATATTAAAAAATAATATAAATTTTGACTTGGGCCATATGACATTAACCAATGTCTTATAATGACTCGAGAGCCCTACGGTGCTCCGTTCAAACCCATAACGGTTTCTACCCCTCTAATCCCCGGTAAATCCACCACCTGGTTTGATCTGAACCCACTATCCATCCCCTTCAATTACACCCCCAAATTTGAATCTAAAGTCAACAAAATTTGGGGGTGCAATTGAAGAAAGTGGAGGTGGATTTAGATCAGATTGATTTGGAGATTTTACCGATAGATTAGAGGGAGTATGAATCATCAATTTTTCGAACAGAACATCGTAGGTCCCCCAATCATTCCATGACATTGCCAAGTAATGTCAAGGAAATGATCTTCTATCCCCTATAATTTATATGATTTGATTTCTCTGGCTCACGTTCAAGACCCCGAAAAGTATTGATCGAACCGTGAAGGACCTCTCTACAACAACAACAATAACAACAAGCATACTTAAAAGCTCGGAGAAGATTTACTAGGAAGTATGGAGGGTCCAAACTAAACCTGTTAGCATATATATTTATTTACTACCATATATGTAATTAGTTTCCTTGTTAGTAGTGTAATTAGTTTCCTTGTTAGTAGTCCTTTCCATACTTGGAGTAGGACTTGGCACATGTATATATACGTTGTGAATATTGAATGAAAGGCAGTTCAGTTTTTCCAAAATTCTACATGGTATCAGAGCCAATTTCCCGGGACCTTCTCAAACCCTAGGTTTTTTTCTCACGCACGGTGCCGCCACCGTTGCTTCGCCGGCCGCCACACCACGGTCGCCCCTCTTCGATCGGCTCACGTCGATCACCACCGCTGCAGCGCCGGCTCACGTCAGACTCATAATCACCGTCTCACGCCGGTACTATCTTCGTTTCCATGGCAAGCGAAGGAACAAAGAAGGTCAGGCTCATCCACGATCCTACCTCTCAGTACTACATCCACCCGTCCGAAAGTGCGGGTAATTCCTTGACGAAGCATCTTCTCAAAGGTGATAATTATGATATTTGGGAGAAAACAATTATTAATGCTCTAGAAGGGCGTAGTAGAGCAGGTTTTCTCAATCCTTCCGGGTTTCCTAAACCCACTGATGAACAGGAATTGACGGCATGGAAAGCTAATAATTCCATAATTTGTTCTTGGATCTGTAACAGTGTTGATGAACACATCCAACCTTCCATTATCTCCCATAAAATTGCTCATGAATTATGGTTAGATCTGAAGACCAGATATGAAGGTTCCAATGGACCTCGTATTCACCAATTGAAATCTGAGTTTCAATCTTTGCGTCAAAAGGGACAAACTGTGGTTGTCTACTATAACCAATTTGTGACTTTGTGGAACAAGCTATATGGATCTGTTGATCCAACGTGTGGTTGCCGGTGTGAGGCTGCGGCTTTGATTCGGGCGCACGAGGAACAGGAAAAGACTCATCATTTTTTGCTCGGGCTCGACGACGAACAGTTCGGTCACATCCGATCTCAGATTATTGCCACCGAACCTGTTCCGGACATACACCGGGCTTATGCACTCGTCGTTCAAGAGGAACGGCATAAGAGCATTGTCCGTGGCCGAGATGACCGTACGGACGCTCTCGCCTTTGCCATGCAGCGTCCCGCTCCTACCTTGGGTCGTGGAGGCCCCCCCTCATTTTTCGTGCACACATTGTGGAAAAGACGGCCATTCCGTGGATCGGTGCTATCAATTGCATGGGTATCCGCCCGGGAAGGGTCGTGGAGGTCGCGGCACTGCATCCGGCCGAGGGACTCGCGGCGGTGGCAGAACGCCGTCCGGCGGCAGTAGCGCCCCTGGCCGTGGGTCTGGCCGAGGGATAGGATCGGCGACAGGGGGAGCAAATGCAGCCACCAATTCCAACGCCCTAGGCCTCACACCTGATCAGATGACTCGATTACTTTCCATGCTCGACGTCTCTTCTTCCGACAAGGATAATGGGTCTAATGGTGAGGCATCGGCTCGTGAGTGGCTTATTGACAGTGGCGCCTCTCATCACATGACTGGTAATATCTCTTTTTTAACTGATGTGGTTCCCATGGCCCCCTGTGTCATCACGTTGCCGAATGGCACACAGACTACAGCCACTCGATGTGGCCGTGTGCGGCTCTCACCCGAAGTAGTGCTTCG